TCAAACAGGTTTGCAGAAGAAGACAGAATTTAAACTATTCCCTGTAGAAGCATTACAACTTAAAATACTTTCATAACAGATCCTCTTCCAGAGCCGCAGTGCTGCGGAACTCGGCTTGCCCAGGTTTATGGTCTGACTTCAGAAGTTAGATCTGGTAGTTGCTTTTGAAGGTTCACTGATGCAAACTCTACTCTTTTACCACAAAGTTATTTCCAGACTTCTTAATAAAAAGATGAAAGGATAGCACTTACTTTAAGTACTCACATTGACAGATAACAAAGAAGCTCTTGTCCTCGAGAACATGCAACCCAAATTATAAGTTAGTTGTGAAGAAATGGCAAAAACAATTTGGTGTTTTGAGGAGGGCGCAGCTCGGAATATAAACTTTGTGAGGTTATTTTCAAGTGAAGCATTGGCATCTTGAACTTCTTCCGCTATCACTGTACTTCTGCATTTATCCCCCTTTCAGCTTGTTGTTGTCTGTGTGCTTGAGCCTATGTGCTAAGTGTAGTACTGCACTTCTTTTTTTCTCTACAAAACTGCACAGAACTCTGATGTTGAAGTAATAGCAGAGAGGAGTGTTATTCTGCAATTCACAGCTGGTTTCTTTAAATAGGAACTGGAGAAGGATTAAGAAATCTGAAGAACCAAGACAGTGTGTGCTAAGGTGGTATAAGGTGGGAATCAGGTAGGACATAATGTAAGGTGACCGAAGTTATTGCTACCCATAACCAGCTGTGCTGCTGAGGAGAGGTACCTGCTGTGCTTGCAAGTGAGTTCCAGAACTTCTCTAGTTATCAACCTGACGTCTTAACGAAATCTCTTTGCCAGGAACCTGATGTGGTCACTCGTTGACCTGCTTTCAGGTCTTAGCTATTCTGTCCTAGCACTGTTTACTACACTGATGTAGTTAAGGTATTATTAAATGATCTACTTCACTTTCTTTAGTATGTACAAATTTTCTAAAGAAGATGTTGGGGATGTACAGCCTGTTTTTGTCACATCTCGTGTAGACAGTCAGTTACTTGAGCATAGCTGCCAGGCTGTCACCTGTTGTGCGTAGCTTTGCAACCCCTCCTGTTAGCCTGACTCTTGAATAAGTTGAACTTGCTGTTGTGAAAGAAGTAGAGGCTGCTGCAGGTGCTGAAGCCGATATCTCCAGATCACTGAGGAGCCCCTTTGCGTGCCAAGCTCAGCCTGATGCATGAGCAAATTCCTCCTTGAGGAGAACTGTTACCTGCTGCTTGTGAATCAGAGCTGCCTCTTTCATTGGCACTTCAGGGAATGTCTTGTGCTCATTGAGCTTGTGAGCAGCCTGGTAGGGCATGCGAGGAAGCCATGAACCAACCTTCACACATGTTCCCTGTCTCTGCTGCAATCCATGAGTATCTGCATTCCTCTGAGGAATCATGTTTGACCACGGTGCTGGGTAAATACGTGGCAAAAGCCCTCAATCAACAGTAACTGTTACCTGTTATCGTGGGATGGACTGTGCAACAACCGAAGCATGGCTAGAAGCACAAATTGTGTTTTGTACACAAGTTACATTTGCAATGTGTTTTCCCCCAATTTCTGCTTAAGGCTTCTATTCTGACTTGCTCTTTTGCTCTTCCTTTTAACTTGTTTTCTTGACTTCGTGGTGAGTAGATGTTTCGTTGGTTTATTTTAATGAAACAGCACCTATTCCAATGCCTAGGTTCCCATTGCTTCATTGTGACAGGTAGTGCGTTAATTAGTGCGTTAATCTCCTTAGTCTTTCAAACTAGCACTTTAGTATGATGTGTGTATGCTGTGGTGCTTGTAGAGCTATGCATAAAATGCCCCGTATTCCATGGATAGTGACAGGGAGTTCAGTGGCAACAGCCATAAGCAGCAGCAGTGAGTCACAGGTTTCCAGACACCTTGAAAACCAGTGTTGCATCCCTTCCTTCTGCAGCTATTAGCATTAGATGCTCTAGTTCACCTAAAAGCTTGGAACTGGCAGAAACTGAAGGCTTGTCCTGAAGGGACTGCTTCCCTGCTTATCCACAGGCTGAGGAATTCTTCAAATATCGTGTATTTGTGTTTATCCTTGTAGAATCCTTGAGAATTCCTAACGTGCTATAGCTAACCGCCACTTCTGATGAGTGAGGAATCTCACACGCGTTTGAGTGTCAGCAGTTGCTCGTGTTTGTATGTTTGAAGAGCAATCCTTACAAAGTGCTTTTTAAATTAGTATTCTGGAGCTGTGCTCAGGAAAAGGGGTGACATTTCTGCAGGGCTCGAGTCTTTATGCTCTTGCCCTGCGTTCTGTAAGGTCTGTGAAAATTTCCAGAAAGGCAGCCCTAAAGCCAAAGTGCTTCATTGTCAGGAGGCTGCTGCATGGCCCAGCACAGAGCCCCTGTCTCCTGTGGCTCTGTAATATCTCGCAACCAAAGCTGAAGGAACCTCTAGGGAATAAAGATGGGAAGTTGCCACTTTTGGAGGAAAACTAGTAGTAAAATACAGTTTCTAGCTCTCAGTTCCTAGCTGTGAATGCCTAATACTTGAGTAGTTCGTCAAAGGCAAAGGAACAGCTGTGTAAGTCTTCTCTTGAAATTACTGAAACAAGTGAGGCTGTAGTTAAAGCTGTTACATCCTCTTAGAGTGAACCATCTTGTCCTCAAAATGACACTAAAGGATTATCGTCTTTCTGGCTGATGAATGAACACAGCAAACTTTCATATTTTTTCATCCCTTGTTTTACTTTGAAATAAAATATCCTTTTTGTCTTTAATGAGACTAATTAGGAGTATATCCTTTATTTATTTTACAGCAATGTGGCTGCATGTTTTATTGGGAGTAAAAAATAAAATAAAAAGCAAAGTGCAATACCTGTATGGGCATTTTTGGCAAACTCTTTACATATTGTGCACAGAATTCTATTTCTGCTAACACTGAGAGTACTCTTCTGGGATTAAAAAGTGAACTAGATCTAATCTTCTTGAAATAAAAGGCAGCAGAGATTTACTGTTATGTTTGACATACAATCATATGACTTTTTTTAGGAGAATCATCCTTCGAATTTGTTTTTAAGAGATTTTTTACTTTATATTAAAGGAAGTAAAAGATTGTTAAGAGTCCACATAAAGTAACAAGGTTAGAAACAAAAATTGTAAATCACATATTTCAATGTCACATGCAGGTTTATTTTCTTCTTGTTCTTATTTTCTTACCTTTTATGGTAACATTCAATACCTCCTCTACAGTTTTAGGGATAAGCCCAGTGCAACAGATCACTTTCTCTAAAATGATCTTGGCCAGAAGCTGGATGGTGGAGTTGCTTTCTTAAAAGAAAGAAAACAGGATTTGTAGACGCAGAAGGTAACACTGCTAGAGAAATACACTCCTCAAAAATCCAGTTTCAACTCTGTAAGTGAGTATAGGAAGGTTATTTTTTACTTTGAGAGATTTCTGTAACTAAATTGCAAAATCAGATCCTTTGGCTGATGCTTTGCCCTTAGTAGCATGTGATATCTGGAGTGGCAGCAATAAGGTTATAAGTCCGGATTGAGCTTCAGTGAGAAAAGTACTAATATACCAAAATCACGTTAGAATTTCTTGATAACTGTTTAGAATATACTTAGCAGCTGTCTTGTTACACACATTTTTAGCTAAAACTTATTGTGTATTCTCTTTTTGGAAAAACAAAAGGAAAAAGCAGTGTTCTCTTCGGTGTATATCGGATGATCTCCCATTTTTCATATTTACTGAATAATCCATTTTGTCAATACCCAGCTTCTTATCTTGAATGCAAAACTTGGCATGGAGCTTTTTTTGTAAGATGTTTGTACAGCATAACAATGCAAAAAACTATCCGCTCAGTATAGCAGATAAACTAACGGGTTGGCAGATTTTTTCAAAGGAGTGCTCATAGGGTCATTCAGTAATGATCAATATGAAACTAGTCATTGTAAGTAATTTAAATCAAGATCTGTAGATTAATAATAAATATTTTCCTGATCAAAAACTCCACATGATTCAGACCGGGAGTGTGATTATAATAAGCTGATGAAATTTCCAAATAGTTTTGTGGGTTTTTTTGTTGTTGTCGTTCTGGTGATTTGAGTCATTTCAAAGAAGAAGGCGTGTTTAATGCAGCTAACAAAGGATACAGCCTGTTAGTATTTGGGGAATACGGGGGAATGCTGCCTAGAAAGTTTAGGAAAGCTAAGCCAAAATAGCTAAAAGAAATCTTTAACATTTAGTTTTTGTAAATAATTAAGATGCTTTATGGATCGTTCAGTTCACAATTGAAATGGTTTAATTCACTTTCTTGTACATTTGAAATAATAATTAATGCACTTTAAAAGCTGATTTGGATTGCTGCTTCTGAATCTTGCTTTGTAATCATGCTCCCAAAAGGTTATTCCACTAGCAGATAGTTACTGCAGTAGAGAGAAAAATTGCAAATTACACAGGGTGCTGCAGTGTAATGGAGAAAGACAGCACAAGAGCTGCTGTTAGGAAGTTGAAGACCGATTTAATGAACTTCCCCAAACACATGCATCTCTGTTTCTGACAGTTAAAATTGTGGCACATAGTTGAGATTCTAATCTGTGGCACATAGATGAGATTCTCTTGATCTAATGTAGTTTTAGATTTACGTAGTTTTAGATTTAACTAAGCTAATAGTGAGTGTCTATCTGAAACCTTGTGCACATTTATAAAGTTAAATTATGGTTTTATATGTATCTCATGGTTCCTTTTAATTACATTAAGCAGGTATCTTGTGGGTATAGGTCTGCTTCCATGGATCCAGCTATAGGGTAGAGATAGAACAGATTGACTTTCTTATGTCCTAATTAATTAAAATTTACTGCTTTGTTGATTAGGAGATTGTATGCATGAGGGGTACTGATACTCTGATGGAGGATATTTGTGTTAATGGTACTAACTTGTTGGCGGCTTCCTACCTTACTGGATCTCATTATTGAATAATGCAATGAATGTAAAAAAGTAATATTACATTTTTTTTTTAGGTAATAATCTATGGGGATTTGCCAAAAAATAAAGAAAATATATTATATTTATCAAATCATCAGTGTACAGGTTTGTATTGATTTTTGCTTATACACTCTTATAGATTAAAAACAGCTTTGACTGTGAATATTTCAGCTCCCTCTACAGTTATGGACTTAGAAGGGGAGTAGCTAGAAAGCTTTAGGTTCTTCTCAGTAGTATTTACTTAATAGAAATTTGGTTTTGGCTGTTCTTACTACATTTGTAGAGAAATGCATGTGAAATGCCAAAACTTTACTTGAAATCTCAGCTCTTTCTCTGTATGAGTCAAAGCTACAGAATGCCTTAAAATCTTGTTACTGTTAATAGAAATGTAATGTCTACACTTATAGTAGTAAGATGCAGTCAAAATCATTGTAATGTTTTATAATCACTTTTATGTGGTATTGTCTTTTTAAGACTTGTGATTGATGAATGAGTGCCTGGAGACCAAAAAATGATACATATATCCCAATCCATTTGTAAAGATGGATTGACCGCCTGTTTCTGTAGTATGTCTCACCCTCGACTTTCAGGATTGCAGGCAAACTTGGCTCCTTCTGTACCAAATGCAACCTCTAAAGGCTGTCTGGATTTAACCATACTTTATTTTTCTTTCCCATCTCAGTATTTAGCTAAAGTTCAGAAAAACATGTGAAATTATTTCTCTGCTGCTCCTTAGATTTCTGTGACTTTTACTGAAAGTCCCCAACAATGAGAATCAGACCTGGGCCTGGGTTGAATTTAATTTAGCAATATCTGCTGTGTTTTTCAAAGGAGGAAGAGGGATTAACTGTTTTACGCAATAATCTCAAATCTAAAGTCCTAATGTAGAGTAATGTTTTCCTCTGCACTTTCTCAACTGAGTTAAGTTTTTTAAAAAAAAATAAATAAATAAAGGGCAAATGGTGGTTGGAGTAGCAGCCATGTACATTGAGAATATACCAAAGGACCTACCAGTGGAGGCAGCATCTCCATTGGTGACTTACTGTGTTAAATACTTACCTGTGCAATGCGGTTTTTTTGGAAGATGGGCTGGTGATGCAACATCTAGATCCAAAAGAGCAGGCAAGAAGCAAAAAACATGAATATGAACTCTGTGCGCTTATTTGAACCAGAAGCTGGACAGGGGAGGGAAAGAATTTTCTTTGTCTTATTCATGGCAAAGTTCCTGGAACACTCATAACATAATTTGCCATTATCTGTAGTTAACTCTTGTGGTGACTCTTAAACCAGGTAGTGTCTCCAAAATATCCCAATTAGGCCAAAGGTTCAGGAAGTGTTCAGGAAGACTAGGCCGCAAGGCCTATCTGGTAGGTGCAATTTCCGTTTGTAGAATTTCAAAGGCACCTCTTGCCCTTCATTAACTCCACAGGGAACCTTGCAATATACCTTTTACCAGATGCCTAAAATCAATTACGAGTTAGACTGCAGATAGGTCTGTCTAAAGTAAAGCAGATTAGTGGCACTCTCTGTGGACTGGTTGGTTATATACCAAATGAAACTTGTAATACATCAAGCAAACTGGAAATAGGGCTCTGTGATATTTTACTTGTTAAAATAAGCTTATCCCCATGAGCTGTCGTTCCACATTTTGGATTATTTGAGGAAGCACTGATAGGAAAATAGACACTGAAGCACAATTTTAGCAAAATGTATAACTTCCGAGATGCACAGCCAAGTGTTAAGAACGACCATTTCAAACATATATCACAGAAAATTTCAGAAATAAAAGAAAGTAAAAATGAAGCAGTATTTAAAGCTGCTTCATAATACTTTTCAGAATTTCCTCGATCTAATACATTTGCTGGGTACATCGCTCAAGTTTAACATGCCCATCTGAAGAATACCATTGTTGAAATCAAAAAATTTATCTAAAAAGCTAACTAAAAAGTTCTCTTATAAGATATCAAAGCTTCTACTGGGAAAACTAGTACTGCAGCATTTAAAATTGTGACTAAATGAGCTATTTGTATAAAGAAATTGGCAAAGTACTAATCAGCTTGATTCAGGAAAGTTCTTTCCCTTCAATTTTCCCTTTGCTCTTACATATTCTTGACAATCTGCTTGTCAGTTTACTCTCTGTTTTCAGCCTTGCTCTGAACTTCATATCAGGTATTTTTCATTCAGAAGCCTTTACTGATAATTGCATGCACAAAAGGTATATTTTATTTTATCTGTGGCAGTTGAAAACTGGTTTAACTAAACATTTTGGGCTTTTGTCTTTGCAGTTGATTGGATTATTGCGGACATGTTGGCAATGAGGCAGAATGCAATCGGCCACGTTCGTTACGTTTTAAAAGATGGGTTAAAATGGCTCCCATTGTATGGGTGGTATTTTTCACAGGTAAGTGTTTTTTTTTTCTTCCTGTTTGTGTGTCGCACACATACTTCATTGCATTTATAATACATATTTTTCAAGCTACAGTTCTGATCTCACATTTTTTTTCAGCATTAAAACAGCTTGCTTCAGTGTAATTAGATGTATCCTTTAGTTAAAGAATCAATTTACTTTTCTAAAGTAATATTTTATATGAACAGAATATCTATTACTAGAACTGGAACTGCAAAATCTATGTTAGAAGCTGTTTCTAAATATTCTAATACTTTGTTCTAATATTCTAATACTTTGTTCAAATGCCCCCTTAGCAGAAGGTATAACCAAAGCTTTTCCCCGTGTTGTGTTTCTGTGTGTGTGTGTGTGTGTGTGTATGTGTGTGTTTTGCCATCCTATAAACTAGGAGTAGATTCACACTGCTCTAGTGTACTTCATTTTTCAGTCCTTGCTTTTTAGCACAAAATAAAAAGAAGAAAATTGGACCTTAGCATAGTGCAGAGGAGAAGCAGCAGAATCCCAGTCTCCATGAAAGTGCTGATGATTTTGTTTTGGCCTTCGATTAAACCAGAACACTGTAAACTTACATTATGTTCCTCTTGTTCATTTTAGTCAGAGAGCCCAACCTGAGAAAAGGGAAAAGGCTTGGGCATGAGACTACTGGTGGGAATAGTGAAGGAGACAGGACAGCCCTATTCTTGCAGAAGACCACAACTGTGTCTACTGTTTGACTTTGAAACTGTACTTTAAAATGGGATTTTAAGACGCTGATATGAGTTAGGTTATGTTTAGAGAGCTTATACATCTATGAACTAACTATGAACTAATTTAGGATGCTAAAGAATAGGCTGTGCCTTAAATAGGGGTCTTTCCCAGCAATCAGGTGTTGCCTTCTAGCTTTGGAATAGATGCCTAAATTCTAGAACTTCTAGAGAGGGTCCAGTGTAGAGCAACAAAAATGATTAAGAGATGGGAGCACCTATTGTATGAGGAAAGATTGAGTGAGCTGGGCCTGTTTAGCCTGGAGAAGAGAAGGTGGAGCGGGGATCTGATCAATATGTACAAATACCTGAGGGGAGAATGTAAAGAGGATGGGACAAAACTCTTCTTGGTGGTGGCCAGTGACAAGGCAAGGAGTTAAGTTGAAACACAGGAAGTTTAATCTCCATGTGAGGAAGAACTTCTTTACTGTGAGGGTGGCAGAGCCCTGGAACAGGCTGCCCAGAGAGACTGTGGAGTCTCCTTCTATGGAGATCTTCCAAACTCGCCTGGATGTGACCCTGTGCCACGCGCTCCGGGTGTCCCTACTTGAGCAGGGTGGTTGGACTAGATGATCTCTAGAGGTCCCTTCCAACCTCAACAATTCTATGAGTCTGTGAAATTCAACTGAGGCACGGAGTGTTGGTTGGTCTCACCTTAACTGTCAACTTTCAGGAAGTGAACCATCTCATTGTTTTATTTAAAAACGTATGTGATGGCTGTGGTTCCTGCTTTCTGTACAAAGTGAAGATGGTTAGAGTCTTCTCCAAGATACAGGAAGATCCAGGTTCAATGTTGCTTGAGAGTAAGAATATTTTCCAGGAGAGCATCCTACCCAGCAGGCTGTAAGGCTAGACTTGGAGTAGGGCTGCTTGTTTCTTCTGAAACTGCTGTGTTATCTCTTGGATTTAAAAAGGAATATGTCACAGGCAAAATCAGAAAAACGCTAATGTTTTCATGATTCTTGATTTGCTCTCCCCATCACCTAAGTAAGTACAGAGTACAAACCCTGTCCTACCTCAGTGAGGGTGTCCATTGGATGGCAGTGGACTTTTCTGTTGTCTAACAGTTGCCCACTAATGATTCTGGCTCTCTACATTTGTCTTCCACAGCAGAAAGGGAGCAGTGTGATTCATGGAAATAGTCTTGCTGTAGTCATTAAATTGGTGGTACTGTAAGTCATCTTTAATTAAACTACAGGCAGGATATCTACTCTATCTGCTATCACTAGGTGTCCATTTTTTTTTTTTTTTTTTAAGATTTTGGAAAATTATTATTGCTATCTGGAATATCCGTTGCTCAGCTTCCTGCCTGCTAAATTGACTGTTAAAAGAAGGTTCCTGTGGAAATTAATGTGAACGTAGTCTATGTTTTTAAACAAATCACATGTATTAAATTAAGACCTGTATAGCTTTGGATTCCTCAAAGCATAATACTACTATAGGAAGTAGTGAGGAATAAATATGAAATAAATATGAAAACAATTAAATGACAATATAAATATATATGTGTATATATATGTCTGTGTGAATAACTCAGTGACACAAATGAAAGGCAGCTTACTGATAATGGTGATGCATATGTGCTTGAATTACCGAGACGGGATGCAGCAGGACTATAGCGCAAGCTAATAGGTATTTTTATTGTTTTTATCACACCAAACAGTGCAAAAACATAAAACACTTCCTGCCCTTCCTGTTGATGTTCTGTCAGTGATGTCACTTACAATCCACTAAAAGTTTCCAGTGCCGCGTAATTACGGCATGCTCACGGAATTCATATTCCCTACCTCAGGTAAACATCCTGTTTGGAAATAAACGTGGTCTGGATGTCCAGGAGAGCAAAATTGAGGCACAAAGGAAGTATATTGGTAAACATCATCCATTGTTGACTGAGAGAGAGGCTTTTAAAGTACAGCGGAAAAAAATTAAAAACTTGAAAACAGTACTTCCAGAAATCTGTTTTGAAAAGCATTCATTCATTTGATCTGTTACTGAAAAGGAAATGCAGTACAAATTGGGGAATTTGAGCTATATACAGTTGCATAACTAACAAATTCTTCTTTGGAAGCATCTCTCTAGTGGTAAAAAGGAAAAGAGCCACTTAAATTAACCTGTTGTGTTCCAGGTTTGACTTATGAAGCAAAATATTTCTGGTTAATAAAACTGTCTGTATATTTTGGGGTGGATCTTTTTTTTTTTTTTTTTTTTTGGTCCTATCTTTCTCCACCAAAATGCCAGTAGCTCCTAATCATCTTATACCACCTGGTGAGGCTGGGATGTAACTTTGGAAAATATTTTTGGTACCCCGAACTTTGCCTGGCTTTTTAATGTAGGAAGTATACCTTTGTCTTTTCAGTTGTTTAGCTTCAGCTTGTGTACTCTTTCGGTTGTCCCTGAATTTTAGACAGTTGTTTGTCTACTGTGGCATTTTTCCCTTCTTTAGGTTTGTGTTCCTATGCACTTCAGAAGCTGTCATTATGTAGTTAGTTCTTATGCAGTGATTGGTGGTGTTATAGTATGCAGCTCATCTGTTCTTGTGTTAAGTATCTGTTTTCCTACTGAGAAGTACAGGTCTATTTTTAAGCATAAATAAGTCTGAGATGGGGGTAGCAAAACTATCTGGGTTTTGTGCTATCCCAAATAAACTGTATGACAGTAACTGGGATTCTTCCATGTTCACCATATGAAAAAAGAGAGTTTCGCACATTCCCAGTTTACTGCAGTTGCTTGGTGTTTTGGTTAATAAGGGATGACCTAATTTAAAGTTTGGCCTAGTTGAGGGCACATAAAACACTGATTTACAAATTATATCCAAGTCTCGCATAGAAGACAAGCTACTTTCCATACCAAACTAAATTTGGCCTTCCTGTAGTCAGTTGTGATGAGTGTTACACTGCAGAGTAAAACTTCTCGTCAGTGATGTCAGATCTTAAAAACAGCCTTAAATGTGAAGTGTGTAGTTAAAACGCGTCTGTTTGCTGCACAGTTGTTGGAAATCTTTTCTGCTCGTACCCGTAACTGGTAAAGTCATGTGGGATGGTGCTGATACAGTGCTGCTACCTGCAAAGACCGAGCTGGATGGGCTGGGGGATTCTCTTCTGCACTGACTTTTTGTCCTGCAGTCACCCCAGCCCTGCTGGTCACAACAACTGACTGCTTCACCTTAGAAGGGATCAAAGGCAGTACTGTTAAGAGAGAATATTTAATGTGAAATTATTAATAATTTGACAATAATCATAATTTGACATTAGTGAAGCATCTGCACAACCAGCTTTCCACCCAGTAAAAGGAAAGTGAAAGAATAGTGCATAGCTCCTTTTTCATCTGCCTTCTTCTAACCATGAAACTTTGTTCCTGTCCACACCATGCGAATGAGGTGCTATCTGCCCTCATGCACACACCACAACACCTGTATTTCCGTAATGTGCTGGAGCTTTCTCTAAGATAAGACTGAGGTTCAGCCCTTACTGGTTTCAATCAAGCTTATAAAACCACAAATGGACAAAAATTCTCTATTAAAACCCGATGCTAACAGTGAGGGTAGAAGGACAGGAAAAAAAAAAGGTATTATTGGAAATAGATTTGGGAATCCCTGAAAATTAGGTCCTTTAAAAATTAAATTATATCATTTGAAAGCTATGTAGGTGTGTTTTTTCTTTACTGTTGACATAATTCATTGTGTCAGTAGTTCCTCTTGTTCATCAGCATGTTGGTTTATCCCATTGCAAATACACTGCAGATAAACAAAGTGATGGGAGAAAGGTGAATGATGCAGATTTTATTTTTAATCTTCCTCTGTGAGTACTTTGCCATAGTGCTTTAACTGAAGTTTTTGTGATGAAATTGTGTGGTACAATGTATAAAATGAACCTTTCCAGAAAATGGGCTAATTTTTATTGTGTTTATTTAGTGTTTTTCAGCAGAAGTAGCTTATGAAATCTTAAACCTTCTAAAGGGTTTGTCTTTCTGTATCTTGATATTTAACACTTCTATATTAAACATTTGATTCTTTCAAAAAAGGCATATGAAATTGTTTACATGACCTATGCTAGTTACTTTTGGACTACTCATAAGGTTTGTATGTGTATGTACAGTAAATGTAGTTGCAGTTTTTGCATCAATTCCTGCAGTAAATACTTGTATCTGCGTAACTTCGCTGACATGAATTCTCTTGATCTACAAGTGGTACCAGGGAGAAGCAAAACTGTGTTCATCTGTTTTCAGGGATAGATCCCTGGGATTAGTTGCAGTGCTTTCTTCCAGTTAATTATTTAACACCTTTAAACAAGACACTTAGATGTCTTCTGATATTTTCTGTAGACATCATCTTGTATAAACAGATCTTGTCAACTTATGCACACTTTGAGTGTTTTCATCCTGGGATAAAATGTCTAGTGGGAAATTTGCAGCATGAGTCATGAACGTCTTGTCATTGTGGTCTTGTTTGTTCTTTTATCAAATATTCCATGTTTATAATATTTATCTATTTTGTTAGCATGGAGGAGTCTATGTAAAAAGAAGTGCCAAATTCAATGAAAAAGAAATGAGAGCGAAATTGCAGGCCCATGTGAAATCTGAAATTCCGGTAAGATCGTACGTTTCTTCTTTCCCCCTATTCATTTCTTTGATCTTTTTAATGGCAGAGGCTTATTTGGATAAATGAACTGTGTCTGATACCTGCAAACTACAAAATAGCAATCATGGGTTTAGTTTGTTTTTCATTTTTCCCTTTTTATTTTTAAAATAGGATATCTTCAAATAAACTGTTAGGACTTTGACTAGTCTTTTTATGAATAATTGGAACTTTTTTATCAGGGGAATCTGGACTAAATATGAGAATGTGAGTTATAGTTATGTCATAGAGCAGCCACTTTCAGTGTTCCTTATGTTTGAAGATAAGACATTTTGACTACTGTGATAATATTGTTAGAGAAGTCTTTCGGAAGTCCACATCGTTCTTCCCAAATGTTCATTAGTCATCCCAATGATCAGTCATTTTAATGAAAGTGACAGCTTAAAATGGCATAATGTTGTCTGCTACTCCTGAAGGGGAAAAAAAAATCAACTCTTGATAATTTTCTATTTGAAGAATGACTGTTAGTGCCAAGTGACTTTTCTCATGACTCCCTCTATGGTTTGTGGCTCAGTGGTTAAAATCACTGTGCCTCACTTCAATTACAGTGCATTAAAATGCTTTCTGCCTTTTTGGCTTGACACATGAAAACCAAAGCAGTAACTCTTGATGTAGAACAGCTAAGCTTTTATTTAATTTAAAATGATGTGATTAGGACTCACCATTCCATATGCCAACAGTGGCGCACCTTTTAAACGCTCAAGGTAAGGGTAAAGGAATATCTAGATTGCTTTGACCTTCATAATACTCCTCTTGTGTGTGTGCATTCAGAAAATGAATTGGCCTTTTTTGGATGACTGGTGTGTACACACATAGGTGCAGAGCTATGGAAAGCCTTAAATCATTAAGTCGTTTCTCTTAAGACAGGAGTCAAATTAATTCAGTCTTTAATTGAAATTTAGTATGGACAGTTTTTACCGTGTTATATTTATTATTTACTTCTTAAGATGAATATAAAAGTGTCTATTTCTTACTTTAAAGTATCAGCTATGATGGCCAAAAATGCATTCTAACAACTACATTTTTGCTGTAAATTTTTGCCTGACATAAAAGGTCATTTTACTGCAGAGTTCCACTTGCCCTGGGAGGCAGCTCTTTCTCTGATAAAATAGGGAATAATGTTCATTACTGTTAGCATTGGAGAAAGCAGGTCAGTTATATTTTTGGCAGCGACTATTTCCATGGCCTGTAAGGATACCTTAATTCTGTATTATTGTGTGTATGGTTGCATGTTCTTTTTGTGCCAAATTCTGTCTTCATTTGTGTGCACAAAATGGATTTTTAATTAGATTGTACCTCTGTTGCATTGCACTCTATATTTAATAAATAGTTTGAAGTTCCTGATGTCTTAAAAAATATTTCAGCTAGAGGAAAATACTAGGTCAGGACACAATATTGTTTGACCATTTTTATATATTTTAGCATTAATGTTGTATTCACCATACATTGCATCTTCATGAAGCTTTCTTAAAAGGTCTGTCACTTCTTTGGTTTGTGTGTGCCATCTGATATTTGTTTTTGCTATCAGCATACCACAGCACGTTATCTTGGGTTATGTTAGTTTGGGAAAGTCTCCATGTTTGGCAAGCTATTTAGATAACTTCTGTTACAGAAGTTTGTTGACAGTTTGTCAGCTTATAGGAAACTTAGGTGTATCCAGACATGTCTGTCTAATAATACCCATAGTCAGGAAGCCATTTCGGTAATAACAATTTTCCTTTGTGTTGCCAAGGAGAACCATTTTATCCCACATGTGACAGGTTGGCATTAGGTTGTTATTTTCTCTGTGCAAGTGCCAAAGATGTGCCAAAGTGCTCCAGGTGTCCCTGCTTGAGCAGTGGGGTTGGACTAGGTGACCTCTCTCTAGAGGTCCCTTCCAACCTCAGCCATTCTGTGATTCTGGAATTTTACTTTCTGTAAAAGGCAACATAACTCGGTAAGCAAAGGTGCAGAGTGCGAGCATGTGCTTGAAGCCATCTCCCTGCTTTTCTAGGTTAGCAGTTGCTGAATGAAGCTGTCGGAAGAGTTTTGTCTTAAGCGTGCTAAAATGCAAGTCACTAAAATCTGAGCCTTGATCTCAATCTTTCTTTGCTAATGCTGTGAGTGGAGTTGATTTATTACTGCATTTAAATTAAATGCCTTAGGATCTTTTTGATGCCCTCATCGCTAGCCAAATGCTCTGCTGAAGTAACTGTCAGAAGTGGATGGCAGAGTGTAGCACCGTGGTAGGAGGTCGCAGTAATTTGAAGTCATGGGAGCGGGCTGAGGAAGAAGCCAAATCGCAAGTGGAGCCTCTGTGACGGGTGGCCCACAGCGCAGCGGGGCCGTGTGCCCGGGACGGCACCGCGGGGCTGCGCTGAGCAGGGCCCCCTTCCAGGCCCGGCCTCGGGGCTGAGGGCGCCGCTGGGTCTTCCCAGGGAGCTCCCCCGCCGGAGCGTCACTGCCAGGAATTTCAGTGCAGTCACAGGAGCCTGTGCCCAGAAACACGTCTAATTCTGCATCTGTTTGAACACCTGCAAATAAATGTTTCACTTTTGCTGCAATACTGTTAGTTTACTCAGCAGACTAATGCTTGTTTTAAGACAAATTGGAGTATAAGAAGGGTTTAAGCTGAAAGTGTTTAAAACTACGTTCACTGAGTGTTCTGCTTTTCATGATGGATTTCTACATCCAACTCATAGATTAAATAAGTCTAAGAGGAATTTTTGTTTTTATTTCTGGATTTTTCTTCTCTTTCCATGTCAGATGTGTGTATTCAAAACCCCTTCCTAAGCTGAGGCAAATAACCATGGGATCGTTCTGGTGGGTTTGTGCTTTGGTGGAATTTGGCCCTCTGGAAGTTCCGTGGTGCCAGAATAGCACACGGAAACCACATCTGCTCCCGAGGGAGTTGATGCCACTTTCTCCATATACCTTGGGTCGCAGTATAGAAGTGAACCAAGTGCAAGTGATGTAAAAACGGAAGTTCTCTGTTTCAAGTCTTTCAGTCAAAACATGTGGGGAGAGATGCTTAAGTTCACAAAATTGCAAGTTGTCAAAGCCCATTTACCAAGACAAATGTTTGTATTTGCTGGGGTATGAGACACAGACCATTGAGTTGTCATTTCAGGGAAGACTAAACTTTCCATAATCCACTTTATCTGAGAACAGTTTAAATATAGATACTGCAAACGCTCTTTAACCTCCAGTAACTACGGAGAGCAGAATGTGATAACTCGTGTCCTTGCTGCATTATTCATGAAGCTGCTTTGCAGTTCTGCAACTAATGTGACATTCATAAGCAATCACGATGCTTTTAAGCAGAAGATGCTTTGATGAGCGAGGCTCGTACACCTTAAACGTAGCAAGACTGAACTGCTGTGGGCTTCATTTGCAAGTAACTAATTTACTACTCTGGAGTTTCTCTTGACACTTGTGTGCTGGCTGGTGCAGTTGAGAACAGGCCTTGGCTCAGCGTGGGCAGCTGCTAGGCCTGGCTGCTCTTAGGTGCAAGGGCAGCGGAGGGCTTTCCTGCCTCTCCTTAGTGCTAGGGAAGACCTCACCCTTCCAGCTGCCCAGAGGGGCTTGTGCCCATAGCGAGGTGGGCGGGAATCTGCGCTCAGGGTGCTTTGCTATTTACAGTTTCTCTCTGCGTACAGCTCGAGCAAAATAATCCAAATGATGAAAGCTCCGTCTGCCTGGAGCCCTCCCTGTCCCCATTAAGAAACCGAAGGCTTCTAAGGAGGCAGAACCAGAGCCTCCAGCACAAGTTGGTCTAACAAGCTCTTTGCCCCCCTAATCACCATTTAACTCTACACTCATTACTGAGCTCGTTACTGAGCCTTTCTAACTGCCAATGTTTATTTTAAGCTATGCATTTTGGTTATATCAAATCTGATTGGGAACACATTTTAATCTCCTCCCTTCTTTGGAGAGCAGAGTCGGTCACGCAATTTGAAGAACGCTTTTGTGGTGTTTTAATGTAGGCCACAAGATGATTGTGTTTCTCAAAGTAACAGTGTAACAAGAGGCACTGATATACTCAGTCTCTTAGTTTTATAAAGAAAATTAAGTCTCCTGAACTGCAAATTTTTCATTTTTTTTAACTGAAAATAGTATTCTCTTTACCATGCGCTTGTAGTAGAAATCTACATGCTGAGATCTGCAATTAACCCAGTACAGACAATGCTGGTGTTATTATGTGTTTTACTTCTATGGTTCATTCACTAACAGAGTAAGTCTTGGTTATACCAAGCAAAGTGAACCAGATACCGGAAATATGAAGAGGACAGATACATTAATACAACTGCAGTAAGACTTAATCTAATTAGTTTGTTATGGAGTCACTGATAGCAGAATCGCAGGTGTCCCTGTTTGCTTTCCTCACATCACCTCTTGTATTTTGTTCAGGCTAGATCAGATGTGCTTTCCCCTTCACCCGCACCGTGTAGTCTTCAGTTACTGATCTGGGTGTTAATGCTTCTCATCCAGTTCTCCAGGATTACATCTTTTAGGCCTTAATTTGGACTGAATTGATTGAGATTTGCATTTGGCTATTTGTCAGGATGCGATAATGAAATTAATAGTAAAATTAAGCACATACCTTATTTAGTATGATTTGGAAGCTTGTAAATAGAAGTACTTTACTGTTTCCCCTGTCCCTTACCTAGGAACAGTATCCAGTAAACACAGGATATCTTTAGTCAGTAGGCATCATTTCCTGATGCCCTATGCCCCTTTTACAGAAGGGGAGCTACTTCATCCTGGGATGCTTCCAAAGCCCTGTCCTCACAGACTCGCAGAATGGCTGAGATTGGAAGGCACCTCTGGAGATCATTTAGTCCAACCCGCTGTTCCACCAGGGACCCCTAGAGCACGTGGCACAGGGTCACATCCAGGCGGGTTTGGAAGATCTCCAGAGAAGGAGACTCCACAGCCTCCCTGGACAGCCTGTTCCAGGGCCCTGTCACCCTCACAGGAAAGAAGTTCTTTCTCCCTCAGGTTTTCTCTTTATCACCTCTCCTTGCTGCATGTTTGTTGTACCTGGGCTGGAGTTCAGGGACACCTTGTGTTGCTCTGGGCCCGTTTCCTCTGCCCAAAATGTAGAACTCCCTGATCTGCCCCAAGGGCTTCCTACGCTGCCCTCCTCCCGCTCCATAAGCGCTGCCTGCCTCTGTGTTATTGCTGTTCCTTTGGCAACAGTGGGGAACTGTATGGAGTTGCTTATGGGTGAAAGCAGGTATAATTCATTTCCTTAATCCGTATATTAAGTGGGTATACACGGGAGAAATCTGCATCCAACCACTGCCGTTCTCAGTCTTTCTAGCTCTAACCAAAACCAGTTACTGTCAGAGTCCTAATCCACTCCTTCAACTTTTGGAGTTGGTCAGAGCAGCGTGTCACCATTTATCCATTACACAAGTTTTCCATTCATCCACAACACAGAAACCATCACAAAAGTGCCACTTAGCTGAACATAGGGGCCTATCCGATTTTGGTTAAAATTGGTACATCAGCTAACTGGTGATAATGAAGAATTTTTTATCCTGTTTTGAGCATGAACACTGTATTTGTGTTCGCTCTGGGAATGTGCAAAGTTCTACATGGCCGATTACATGACCCTAAATGAAAGATTCTGCAAGTAAAAGTATCCTGTTTTGAGCATGAACACTGTGTTTGTGTTCGCTCTGGGAATGCGCAAAGTTCTATATGGCCGATTACATGGCCCTAAATGAAAGATTCTGCAAGTAAAAGTGGCTTTAGCTACAGCTACTCTTTCCAGACAAGTAACATGTTCCTGCGGTCCAGGAATTCATAATCCAAGTTCGGGAAAGCTTATTTAGTAATTAAAATCTTAAAGATTTATAGTTCTAGTAATCTTTTGGAAATAGTGCTTAAAGATTTAGCTTCTGCTGCCCGTGCCAGGAGACGAGAACAGCCAGGCCTGCAGGTAGGTTCGGTGACCGAATTGCACCGACAGGATGTTTTTGTCTTGGACAGAACTGTCCATATGTATAAGCAGGACATCTTTGCCTGAGGAAAATTCAGGAATGTAAATTCAGCAATGTAAATAGCCATACTAAGCAGCATAGGAGATTTATATGCACTGCATATATAAGCAGTGTAAGCAGATTTATATGCACTGCATGTAAATCAAAGACTGCTTCTTGCCAATGTGCTTTTGATTAAGAAATATTCAGATTTTGGCCAACAAACTTGTTCAGCGGTTGGAGTCTGTGGATTACAAGATTAATTAAAGTATAATTTTGTACACTTGCTTTGTATTACTCATTCAGGACAGGAGTAAGTAGCTATTGCGCTCTTTGCTGTAATCAGCTTTTCATGACAGATTATCTGCTTTGGAGAGGAAGGGATTGAAGTGTTGTTGAATGTTTCTAACTCCTGATCTCTGTACCAAGAATGATTTTCCTACCTTCTGTACTCAATTGCCACACTCAACAGTGACAATCCCTGTTGTACCCTGCAGGGCTAAGGATTCCTTCTCTAGGAGAAGGAATGGGAGAATGACTGGGAGAAGTATCTTCATCTTGGATGACCATTTTTAAAGATCTGATTCAAGCTATGTGGTTTGAATATCAGCATGTTTAAGAATAAAAAAAGGTGTCTGGGATTGAATATCATGCCTTTTTCAGTTAATTCTGAATATTTCAATTTAGTTGCTTAAATATCTCAACTGTGGTCTTCAGAGACAAAATGTGTGTATGACTAGGTGAAAGTGTGGATGAGCAACTGAGTCTAAGTCAGGCTCATGCTACAGTCTTGTTAGAGGAAAGGGGGGAAAAGAGGGGGGGGGCACCTTGCCTCTTAAATGCAAATTCCTGTATTCGCTCTTTCTCACTTTCAAATATTTATTGAGACTCATTTCTGCAAAGATAGAAAAGCAATGATCTAAGCATAGCCTTTAACTGTGGATGTTAATTCATGTTCAACTCCATGCTGGTTTCTGGCAATAGCTTTTTCTGCTGCAGATGAGTCCCAGTATGAAATTTGTACTGCCTAAGTAGTGCTTTGTGTAAACTTTATATGTAGAAATTTATGCAAGATTAAAAAAAAATGAGGAAGGAAACTTCTCTTCTGGATTAGAAGCAAACCGAAAATGGATCAAATTGATTCCTTCCGAGTGCATTATTTTATACCCAGTTATGTAGATACACATATACTTAGGCAAACACTACTTGATGATTTGAGAATCTATAAATACAATTGTAGCCAGTTAGGTAAGCAAACTTATTTACCTGCAAAATCTAACCTTGCAAAGGAATGTGACTTTGAAGTTCAGTTTGTGCTAAACTATCAGTTTACATTCATAGTATGCTTAACAGCATATATATAATGAGATACATTAAAGCATCTGAGATGTAAGATAGCTGATCTAGTATAATCTTAATTCATATAATTTCTGATTATGAATGGGATTTCAGCAGTATAATGAAGGAAAAAAGGCAACATAGGTACTAAAGCAAAAACTATATAGTTTGGGTCCATGTCAAGGATAGAAGGTTGTCTCTTTAAAATCTCCTCATCACATTTAACAAAACCAGTACTGTCATTGATAAGAAAACTCCTGACTTATTTTTTGTTGTCATGTGCTGTTTACCTTCATACACCACCTAATTAATTTTCTGTCATCTGTCCCCCACAAAAAGTTATTTTGATTCCTAAACAGTAAGTTTCTTGGGGATAAGAAATTTTTAGTTAAAGTATTCTGATTTTCTTTGGACCTTTACAGCAGTAGGGGGTGTGAAATAAATACTATGGAGCTTTTAAGTAATGTTCACTTCTGTAAAAGGAATCAACTGCTTCTAAGAAATTGTGTCTGGTTTTTGTCCCATAGATGTATTTAGTGATTTTTCCAGAGGGGACTCGTTACAATCCAGAAATACCAAAAGTCATTGCAGATAGTCAATCATTTGCTGAAAAAGAAGGTAAGTAGAAAGCTTTTGAAATCATTCTTTTTGATACAGTGTTAACATATGTTATACCAAATTATTGGTTATATGATATGAAGGTGATACCACCTAAGTGGACTGTTAAGCCTGTCTATCTCATACTCGACACTTTAGAAAGTCAGTGTTATTCCTATTAATTCATTTTTTCCCCCCTTTTTTTTTTTGGCTAGAGCTATCTTATATACAGGCATTTAGTGTTTTTTCACGTTGTACAAGAGTATTAATTTTCAGTAAAATTCTCTTTAGCTTCTATCTGTATTTATCAACACTTCCTATTCCATCTGGAGATAGAAATTGCCCATGTTGGATCAGGCTCCTGAACTACCTAAAGTCACATTGCAACTGCAAATACAGTTACTGTTGTTGTAAAAGTTTACAGAGGGACTGCTAAGCCTTAAAAGTCATATTCCAGTTATTATTTACTACAGGTACTAATGTGGCATTATGGCTTTTGTTCTTCCTTCACCTTCTATTCTCACTGCTCCTTGATTGAACTTTGCTGTGGAGTTGCTTTAATGAGGATTTGCACTGTCTATATCACCTTAGATGGAATTATTTCAATTTTGGAATGGCTTGCCAAAAAACTGAGGGTCTGATTTTTTTTTTTTCATATTTGTCACATCATATACGCAAAACATCTAGACTTCTCACTTCAACAATTCAATGAACATGTTTCCTGGGTTTGTTTTTTCCTGTTGACCAAAAGTGAAATAATTCCTCCTGAAGGTAAACAAAGAATAACAAATGGGTCTGGTAAATTCATTTCTGTGTCACGTTGAAATGAACTCAGAAGTCTGTGAATCAGCCTGTTGATATTGTCAGGCTAGTACGTGTATTGTTAGGTTTCGTCCAGAAGGATATCTGCTTTTCTTCTCCTTGGGAAGAATGGTATTCATGTGTGTGCGCAAGAGAGCGTCAGTCAGAGCGTATTCATCGCTTCAGTTTCCTGTCGGAAATGGAAGTCAAATGTTTCATTCAGGTTCGCGGTTCTTTGAGAGTTCAGAGCGGGCATTTGGGGCTTATTCTTTTTTCCACTCACTTCTCTTTGCAGGGAGAGAGAGGTGTTCTCTTCTTGGCATTTTATTATTATTTTAATGAATCTCTTTGTTTTACAGACCATTAAAATAGAGCAGCTGGAAGAGCAGTGCTTGCTATTTTTTCTCAGGTGCTGATGTTCTTTTGTAATTCTGAGGGGTCACTCCCTCAAATATTTGTATTGAAGTTTTTAAAAGGAAACATTTTCTATCCTAGCTTAGAGTCTTTGCGATCCACTTTTTCACAATGTCTTTATTTTTTTTTCTTCCTTTCACAAATATTTTGTCTCTCCAACATTTAGTAAGGAGAGAATGGAAGGTGGACCTCGTATTGGCAAGTTAATAGTAAGATTCATTCAGCAGCCTCTATTGGCAAGTTAATGGGCATAAAAGCATATTCGCTTGAATTAGTGCCTCTCTCGCATAAATGTAGCAGTGAAGCAGGGATGGCCAGCCTGAAAAACATGTGACAAAATATCCTGTCAGGCAGGAACCCCAGGGCACGTGCCATCTTCAGAAAGCTGAGATAGGAAGCTCCAAGAGGAGGCGATGGCTCCCCAGGATCTCCCCACACTACCACACAGCACACAGCCGTGCTTGCTGTTTATTTCAGTGGTCTGTAAAACACAGAGGTTCATTAAAACAGTAATAAAGTGCCCCAAGGCTGCTGGGAGCTTGCAGCTTCCATCCATCAGCCCCAGTGCTGCCGCGGTCCCAGCGCCGGGGCCTTCCGCACGGGAGCAGAGCTTGGGCTTCTCGCCAGGCAGCCGCGCGCGGGCCGAGCGCCGACCGCGCTGCCCTCGGAGCACGAGGGTGGTTATGTGGCTCTGCAAGGGCATCGCTGTCCAGAACGTCCTCGGAGATTCCGATTTCTTACGGTTTTACAGTCAGAGGTCTGATTTAGTCTTGTCTTAGTATAACTGATACCAGAGCATTCATTAATAAATCTATCTGTCCACGATAAGCAGAGAGGATCCCAACCACCGAAAGAATTTAAAGGTGCCTGAGGTCTGCTTTGAAAGAGAGGCATCTTTCTTATTATTGAAAATATTTTGTTTTATTTATTTATTTTTTCTTCTGTTAAAGGACTTGGGTTCTACGTAAGATCTTTTCCTAGCAAAAATAGATAGATAGTTTTTTTTTTTTTTTTCTGAAGCACAGGTATATCAAGCATACAGAGGGGATCCAGTTTCAATATGACAAAGTTGAGCCTAATGGCTATAAGCCATGGATAAATTTATCGGGAAGGAATAGGGCTGTATGCTTTCTGATTATTTTTTTAGAAAGTTGTTTAAAAAGAAAAATGTAGAGTGAAAAATGGATTTCACGAATGGACTTGAATATTTGTCATCTCAGCCAAGTTCTAGGCTCGGTGCACTGCCCACTTTTTTTGTCAGAAGCATTGGTCTCCCTGGTTTTCCTGTTGGAGACTGGCACATGCAGGGTAGCCCTTGCTGCTGCTGCATTTGACACAACAGAACTGGACTCTGCTTCATCTGAATGCAATTGTAAGTTCAATTGTATCAGTGGGATACAAGCCTTTACCTACCTCCAGGGATACTGATTTTTATGGTGACAAACTAAGAACAGTGTGTTGTATCTCACTCTCAGAAACAGAGAATTGTTTATTGTACATTTTACAAGTGTCAGAAAATTCCAATCTACCCACTGGGGTTTTTAACTAAAATGGAACAAGCAACATTTCAGTCTCAAAATACTTTATTTGACTGCACTGGGAGAGATACGTGTTTTGCCCCATGTCTCCTGAGTTCACCCTGTGCTTTTTGCCTTCCGACACCTGCTGTTAACTACATGGTGAGAGATCTTAGACTAGAATTTCCTTTAGTTTCCTACTCTAAAGAAGTAACTGACTAACATGACAGTTGTCTTCAAAATGTGGCAAGGTCGGTTAGTTCACTTAGATCATGGTCTAAAAATGGTCCCTGTATTTTAGATGTCTTAAAAGTGCAGTGATTCTTCCACACTGGTGAGTGGGCTGAACTGTTGAGTCTGCAGAATTATAGACTGTAGGTGGCCCATATGTTTTCATAAGGGTTTAACGTTCATCTTTTCATAATATTAAAGGGGCAATTTTCATTTATTTATACTAGACTGTACATCTTTTTAAGGCACTTTATTGGTAGTGGACTATTTCTATAGAGTCCACAAGAATACTTTTTTTGTATCAGCTTTTAGTGTAAAATTTATGACTTTACAAAACACATACATACAGATTTCTGAATCCTTTCTAAGGATATTAGACCTGCATCCTGTAGACCTGGACCTGTTCCAAATGACCACAGATTTCTTGGGTTTAGCATATTATGAACTTTATACACATTTTAATGTCCAAATGGTAAAGATTTGAAAATAAATAATAAAATCCAACTCCTTCCTACCCCTGATGTTATTTACTTTCAAAAAGCTAAAGAGAACATGATAAAAGTTTGTTAAATTTAGCTTGGCTTGCTGCTGTTGAATGCAGACAAAACAATCTTCCCCGGTGAAAGGCACCTAATGGAATTTTATATTTATGTTTGATTTCTGACATAGGTCGTTTAATCAAGCAAATATTTCAGGTATTCATTTATTATCTTTTTTGTTTTTAGACAGAAAAGTTGCAAATGTAAATGTTTTCTAATTCAGAGTTTATCTTGAATCATGCTTTCTACTAAGATGTTTGTATGTGCAGGATATGCTTATCTCAAAATTGCTTTTACAGGTCACGTAAAAAAGTGGTATTTCAACTGAGCTAATTGAAAATATTTCCCTTCTAGATCTTGGCATTAGTTTTAGATTGTATTTTAACCCTATCTAAAGTATTCAATGTCAAGAAATGTTTATTTGGAACTGTCTCTCAAAAATAGCTTTTGGATATCTTTTTTTTTCCCGTACATTTTCATGTAAGCAAGTTTGATTTAAAAGCACACAATGAAATGCAGAGAGGAAAATGTAATTAAAAATGTGTGTGTGGAGAGAACTTGAGTAACATTTGAGATGCGCGTATTAGTGAGTGAGGAAAGGGCTTTCACTATTAAACATTATCCTTCAGGGAAGGAGGTTTAGGAGGGTAAAAAGCTACCTTATATTCTTAAGAACTTTTTTTATTTTGGGAAAAAGGATACCAAAGTGTGATGTCTCCTGTGGTTGGTATGGGGTGGTCTTATGCTTCTTAAGGGCGTTATTTATGTTTCTTGTTCATGATAACAGCACCTTTTCTAAGAGTATACAGCTTTTTAATACTATTACTTGCCAAGCAGCTATCTCTTCAGTGGGGGGAAAAAAGATGCAGAGTTTTATAACTTTCATTTCAGCAGCTTTCTTCTACAGCTTTGCTGGCAGAATTCTTTCAAATGTGTTCTCTTAAAGAGAGAAAGGATAAAAATGTAATATTTGTAGCTTGGGAAGAGGAATCTCCCACACAAACATCCCTGTTGAGCCTAGGGCCTTTTCTCCTGCCGTGTGTAATTTTATGTGTCTCTCTGGAGTCTGGCTCATTCCAATAAGTAATCCTTATTGAAGGAATTTCACAAGGGAAATTCCAGAAGGCTGTTAGGAAGTTAATGCTGGGTGAGCATTTGGGACAGCACAGATAACTACAGAGCTTTCAGTTTAATATTAATCCTGCAGCAATAAATAAATGTCTAATTGATACTGAATTTGGTTAATTGTTTTTCACCCCATTTTTAATTTTTGTGTTAATGCCAACTAATATGGATGTATGAGTGTGGGGGGGGGAGACCTCTGAAACTAATATCACATCTACTTTTAGTGAGAGCATAACTCTATTAACTAAATAGGATGGTGTTAATGGAATATTTTAAGTTAGAAGTGTTTGTTGCACTGTTTGCAATTCTAAACGTGTTGTGTGTGTATGTGGAGGTAAAAATAGGACTCATGGACAATTCTGAAGCTGTAGCTGTCTTGCTTGCACTGCTCGCTCTGCAAATTTTTGGCCTAGAAGAAAGGAAGAGCAAGAGAGATCCTCTCCATAGAGTTGTACTTGGCTGTCTTGTAGTTTCATCCTGGGAAATTAAATAAGTAGTGGGGTTATTTATTTCTTATTCTTTCCAGTTCACATGAAAAACTCTGTTTTGGAGGCACTGATGATATGGGCCTTTTTAATTCCCAAGCTAAAACCTTACCTTTATTTCATTCAGTTTCATTGCACATTCTTTCTAAGGCAGTTTCTAAGGCAGACTATCTTAAATAGTCTGATAAACAGGGTGTTATTTAAAGTACCGCTGCTCTCTTTGTTTCTCAAGATTTTCATATTTAATTATTTTAATGACTTTAGAAGCCCTTGTTAGGGTTCTTTCAGACTACGTTGAGATGATACAGTATTTGATATTTTATCTCTTCTTACCACTTTAAAGTTAGCTTATAGTGAAAAACGAGGCTTTAGCATTATGAGGTAGAGTATAACCTTAGTAGACATTTAGCTAGTTTTTTTTTGGCATTTAAAGGAAAATCTCATGGCCTCAAATAGTTTGACAGAGAGTCCTAAGTTAGCACTACACAGCAGTTGAAAACCGTTTGACCACAGTGTTCTGTGGATTGGGTACAGGCAGCTTGCCAGGGTGACTACAGCGTAACAGGCTGAGTTGAAATTGTGTTAGGCTGCTTTTAGCAAAGATCGCCAAGAAGGTGTAAGAATGCGTGGTTAATGTTTTTATAAAACATATCCTTTAAAAAGATGTGTTGAACTGCTGTTGTTGCTGCATGTCTGTCGGCACCAGAGACGCACTGAAAAATGGATTATGAACTTCATTGATCTCCACTGGAGGTGTAGCCCATTTGTCCTGAAATCTTAAGAGGGCAGCAGTAACCGGAGGAATAGGAGAGGCCCGTGCTGCTGTATTTCACTTCACTGATTTTCACTGGCCTTCTTCAGCAGCAAAGTAGGCCATGGATTTAAAGACACCCCAGCACTGAATAGCCTTTGGTACCTCAGTTAATTTGTCCAGAGAACTCAGTCCTCATTGAAGCCTGAATTTCCCCATGCCCTCTCTGCAGTAGTAGCTTGGCAAGGCAGGAATGAGAAATTTTAAGAACAAAATGAGGACATTTGGGAATGTGGGTCAGCGAGAGGTGTTGAATGGAACGTCCACGCTCACCTCATCACTGCCACAGCACTAGAATAGGCGTGAAAATTGCTTGGGGAGTAAACATTTGGAAACATAACATGATTAGCTGTTTGATGTAATAGTTCACAAGCTAAAAAAAAAGAGAGAGAGAGAGAGAGAAAACAAAACAGCAAACTACCACTGTGTTATTCTTCAAAATATTTACAGGATCTATGTAACATTTTACACAGACAGTTATCACTATTGCCGGGAGAACTCTGAACAATGGCTTCAGAAAGAGTGCCAGTAAATAACCTTTTATCTCCTTGTTTCAACAGAGATCCTTAGCAAGTGCTAAGAAATTAGGATAGTGGTAATGATTTATACCATAGTTTTCAACTATAAAAATCCTAAAGCAATTTAGAAACCAATGTTACTTTACAGAGTGTGGGAGACATTTTCATAATTTTAAATCAAGGTATGCTTTACCCAAGAGAAAGGGAGAAAGGTTCAGTTAAAATTGGAACATGATGTAACATGATATATTTTTTTGTGTGTTAATTTTACAGGCTAAAATTTTTCTAAAGAAGTGCTGCATACTTTGACTTGGAAAAACCTCCACTCCATTTGTCAGGAACCACTTGCAGCAATGATTGATTCTTTAAAAGTATATTCAAGAGTATAACAGATGGAGGATAAGAAATAACCTTAATCATAGTCATTTTTTGAGAAAAATGCACATTTAACAACAAGATACTGAAATTTCTCAATTAATATACCTTTTTTTGTTCCTACTTTTAAATAAGCACGAAAGTTCTGTGTCTACATTATGTGAAGTTTGTCTTCATTTTGAGATTCATTTATATTAAAACACTAAAAGTAGAATAAAGTTTTTACTGTCAATCCCAATACATTCTTAAGCATGCTCTAGGTCGAAGCAGTCAGAGGAATCAAGGAGTGAACTACAGTTAGAAAAACTTGCAGGTTGCTGTTAAACTTGACTTTTTTTTTTTTTTTTTTTTTTTTTTTGTCCTTGACATACAAATCTCTTGTGTTCTGGACAGGCAGAGAAGATTTCTGTGACTGTGTTTGTTAGTAACTAAAGAAGTTTATTATCTTGCTGCCAGGGAAATGGCAAGGGTTTTCTCCTCCCTCCCAGCTCCGTTTTGTTATCCCCTGCCTGCTCCGATGGCTGGTCCCATCTGGGATGGGGCGTTGAATCAACTCGGGGTTGGGGGGGGAGTCCAGAGCCATGCAGGGTTTAGCAGCAGGATCATGCATGCAGAAAGAGAAAAGTAGAGGGAAATGGATGCGAGGATGAAGTGTATTTTTTTCCCTTTTTGATAACAAAAAGTCATTATGACTGGTAACTCTGGCTTCTCGAGTTGAAGATGGTCTTGAGAGACCATCAAAGTAACCACATCTAAGGTCCCAGGGTGTGGCATTAGTCAGAAGGAAGCAAAAGTATAGAGAGGTAGAATTCCAAATAAACAAAGGACAAAAGTTGAAATTTCTATTAGCTTGTTTGCTTTGGAGAAATGCAGTGTCCTGTTTTAGCATGTGTAGTTGGAAACGAGTGCTGTTTTATGGGACAGAATTTGGTGTGTTGATATGACTGGTTTGCCCGTTGGAACTACAGTGCTACATGAGAATTACAAACACTCAAAGTTAACTGTTCGTACACCTTATCTACCAAACTGGTTTCTGATACCTAATTTCAAGAGACTGTTCTGTGTATTTACTGTTTCTCAGTTAGTTCATCTCAGTTTGTTTTTCTCTTCAGTCAGACAGAAGCAGTAAGGAGGAACATCTCTTCATAGATAACAAGCCACATCAAGGATTGTTTAGTTTAGGAACTTGCCTTTAATTAAATTCCAATAAAATTTCTTTCTTTCATCTTGTACATCTGCTCAATAGAAGACATGTAGTGTGCTTGCTTGCTCTTTCTCTCTTTTTAAATGCATGAAAACCTGCAGCATGTAGCCACAGATTATAAACTGAGGACTTAAATAAATTTATTTATTTACTTACTTACTTACAGTTGGGGGTTCTGTGGTGTCTTAGCATGATGTGTCTTTTCTCTGTGAGATCCATTTTACTTTCAAAACTATTTTTTTTTTGTTTCCCCTCTAGGGCTTACTGTATTAAAACATGTGCTGACACCACGTGTGAAGGCAACTCATGTAGCCATTGACACAATGAAGGACTATTTGGATGCGGTTTATGATGTGACTGTAGCGTATGAGGGTACTGTGGACCACAAAGGGCAAAGAAAAGTGGCACCATCTATGACAGGTGAGTTGATTAAACATGCTATAGCGCCATGCTTTTTCATATATAAACCAACTGTGGTTGCCTTGCTATGCTCTGAAGATAAAGCAACCTTCACACTGGTGCTCTTTAAAGTTAAAATGAACCTGAGGCCATTGGAATCAGGTGCCATTTACCTTAATTTTTCTTCTAGCTTCAGGATTTGGGGTGATTTAAAACTATTTCCCCTGCATGTTATATGTACACATATGATGTAGAAATATGTCCAGTAAGGTTACAAATACTTAAAAAGCATTTTATGCACATGGTCTTCACTTGCTATAGTATTTGAAACTGATTATCATACCTTAAGAGTTTGGACTGTGTTAGTTTTACATTCCTTACTAAACTACCCAAAATAGGTTTGGAGGTTTCTGTTGGGGGAACGTCTGGGGGAGAGAGCTTTTTGTTGCTGTTACTTTTTCTTGAGGGATCTTTTTGTCTTTATCACACTTATTTTCCCCAGGTAATTCATTTACTGGCAGCCTTACTGGAAGGCTAAATGTCATGTTTCCAGTTATAGTTGCTGCAACTCGTCTGTGTTTGTCCGTCACTGACTTTTGCCATCTAGCAGTAGGTGATACTTCTGAATCTTCTGCTGTAGTGATACCAAGAAAAAAAAATCCATAGTAGTTCCACAGAACTGTTCAATCTTTCAGACATGGGATGAGTGTTGTTTGAGGGACCTGCAGGTAAATTCCTAGTTAAGAAGTTTACTCCTCAGTTAACTCCTCACCTGGTCCTGTCTCACTGTGAGCCTGTCGCTTAATCTTTCAGCTGCTCAAAATAGCCCATAGTGCAGCAATTCACATAAATTCCTTTTAGATACTGATTATTTGGAAATCCTGATTTTTTTTAAATTTTCACTTTATTTATAAATTCTTCTGAATAGATAATCAACAGAGCTGTTAACATTATTTTAACTCAACATTTTTGTTGTCCTCTAAGTTCTTAAAATTACTTTTTTTGCATGTACTTTGATCTGTACACCAGAATCACCAGTTTGGTGATTAAGCATTGAATATGCGTCTCTATATTTTTCTTTATTTATTAGCCTCTTTGGACCTGCATTTTATAGCTTTTACAGTTTAAATATTTTTGTTGCTTTAGGTGTGGGGGTGTTTGTTTGTTTATTTTAATATCTTATGACCCTCTGCAGACTCCCTTGCAGACTGGCACCCTCCCTTTTATGCTGTCAGCCAGGCCTTTTCAACAGGCCATTCAAAACAAATGGGGTTATTTCCCCTTCCCTGTAGCATCTTATTTGGGAGTTAATTAGTCAATGGTTTCAACTATTTTCACCCCAACTCTTGACTGCCTGATGGTTAATTGAACTGTTAAAATGTCGTTACCTAATGTTACGATGGCAAATGTTCAAATTCCTTCCGAGACCTCTTCACCCATTGAGCCTTACAATTTGTATAAAGCATGGTATAATTATGTAAGCTGAAGTAACAAAGTGGATTTCCCTACTGGCTCTTTTTGTGTCCAGTGTCAAGTGCTAATGAGATGATTTGTGGTGACTGCGCCGCATGCAGCCTTCGCAGTGCTCTGCCGCAGTGACTCTCTGGGTGTAACATGCAGCTAGTGATGCAGCATGTAGGACAGCCAGCCAGAGCACATAAATGAAATACCCATCCAAGACCTTCCAAATTATTGTGGTAGTCGCATACATTTCATATATTATAATTTAGGTAGTTTACAGACAGTTTATAAATTGCAAAGAAGAACATATTTGTCATTCTTTAGGCCTTCCAGATGCAAAATGGAAGAAAAGCAATTTCTCTTCTAAAAGGTCAAGATAATCTCACCATTTGTTCTGCAACAGTCCAACATTTAGTCCATTCAGGAATATGATGTAAAAAGAATTGAATTAGGAATCATTATGCGTTCATGATGCATGTGATGCCTCTCAGTTATAAAATGGCATTTTCATATGTGCATTTCATACCAGCATCTCATTTGTCTGTGATGAATGAGAGCTTTCTTTTGCATTCTCACCAGAACAAAATGACAGTCCAATCCTGGTAATTTTTAAAAGATAAGATTGGCATGTCTTTTTCAATCTAGCAGCTCTGACTGGAATTTATTGCATGGAAAACAAATTTCTGATGAACACAATTTTATTTGAGGACTGCATTTCCCATAGTATAACTTTTCCCATGTGAATGAAATCTAAGTTCCATGCAGATAAAATGTGTTCTCAAGAAACACATTATCCTTACAAATCTATAAATTTCTACTCCTCCGAAGAGCCTGTGCCACTCCTGAAAAAACGCATATTTATCCAGGGATATGGTTAGCTTTTGATCACTTTACTCAATGGTAGGCAGAGTAGGTTAAAAGGAACATTTCAGTGACTGGGATTAGCCTACCACACTTTTATCTGAGATAATGTGTTAATAAACTTTCACTGAAGAAAGCTTTTTTTTGTTTGTTTGTTTTTTGTTTTTATAATGAAAAAAATATTTTAATTGTATTTTCAGTTCAAAATACAGAACTCTCACAGGAAAGAGGCTCTGCCTTAAAATTGTTTTTTTGGTTTTGTTTTTTTCCACTCAAGTTGAAATATCGTAACAATTACATGTTCATCAGGATTAAAACAAAACAGTGCGCTAACATCTGGAAAAAGATACTCACAATCCGTTTTGCATTAGTGCTCCAAGTAGGACACAGAATGCCAGAAACATCTGTTAACATGGTACCCTTTTAAGCCCAAACAAATTGTTACAATATATCCTTGCTAATGTGTTGTACTTCTTGTTAGTGTTTGTGCATTTTGGTGTTCTGTCAGCACTTCGCAACTACAAATTCCGTGGGTTATTTTGTGGGTGTTTTTGTTTTGTTTTTGTGGAAAATGTCACATTTGATTATTAATTTTAGAAAAGGATGTCGCTTCTAGTTACTGTTTCACATCCAATTGTGATGAGTAACTTTTTTTTTCTGCCATTTATTGGTTATTCACTCCTTTTTGTTACAGCAAATTTATATCTTTGTACATTTCCCGTGGAAGCCCATCCGCGTTGCAGTTGTCCTGCACATAGCAGCCTTTCCAGAGAACCAATTTCCCATAGATTTCTCCCCTCATATTTTGTCTAAATCATTAGTGACAAAACATGATGGTTCTGCTTAGGAAGGTTTATCCTGCTAAATTGTTTTTATTTGTGACCAGTCAACTGAGATGCAAACGATTAAACCATATTAATCCATATGACTAAATTCTGAAAGAACTACTTAGAAGGGACAAGAAAAGAAAAATGATTTTGAGTGTGTCGATCATCTTTTATTGCACTGTCACTGAATGAAAAGTAGAAATAAGCTTGGCAAGACACAGCGAGAACCTGGTGTTTCCCCTTCAAATTAACTCCCTGAGTGTTCGCGCCAAGCCTAGTTCTCATGAGATGTGGGAAATGTTGTCATTATTGCACCTAGAAAACATTATGTTCACATTTACATCTTTATTATTCTGCCTAAAGCTTTTAACAGAACCAGATGGTATTTATCTGGATATTGTGGATGAAAGAGAGTGTGAAATAGCAGCATGTGACAATGATAAACACTGAATAAAAATATCAAGTACATATAGACTGTCAAAAAACTCAGAGGAATTCCTGAGAATTGACTGTTGTGTATCAGTTCCAGAACAAACAGTTTGCAAGCATGAGTATGGGTGCATTTCTGAAAATCAGCACTTCACTTTGATAAGCATAATTTGAGGAGGTCAGAGTGGTTCAACTTCCCTGGGGGAGCTTAGGCTTCTCCAAATGCTTATATTTTTGTTGGGACCCAATTAGACAGTATAGTACAGAACAATTGAAAAGAAACTGGAGCAATAGAAACCAGTCTTAGCCTGGACTGTGGCCCAAATTTGATCAGATCCTTTATCTGTTAAGGTCAAAAAGAAGGTAAACACATGGTTACTGGTATATTGAAAGAATTAAAAAAAAAAAAAGTTAATAAAAAAGTTAATAACCTGATAAAGAGCAATAGGATTGTAAAACGGTAAAAGTGAGACAAATAGTTCATCATTATAAATATGATCTCATGTCTGTTGATTGTTATGTTCTTATTACATAAAAATATTGAAAACTTTAAGGCAATTAATTGAGAGCATCTGAAGAAAGGATGAAGATTAGAATTGAGTTTGAACATCAGCATTGGTGATATTTGAATCAAGTGTGGGCTGGCTTCTAGAGTGTATAATAAATTACATGTTGTGGACTTGTGTTTCATGAGTTCAAGCTAACTTTAATTATCTTTTGTATTTCATGAAGTAAATTTTCTCTTTAAAAGTTGGAGGAATTTTGTTAACAACATAATTTATTCTGTCTTGCTGTTTAACTTGCATGAAAACCCTCAAAAATTAGTCTGAGCAACTTGAAAAGTTCATCTGGTAATTTGTAGATGGCTTATTTGAAGTGGCATTTTGAGCATAGTTTTGCACATGTGCATCAATATTCTTCAGATTACTATGTGGACATATTATGTAATGCAAAAGATGTCAATACTGTAACAAACATTGTATTTTTATTTGAAAATAATGACATTTCACTGAACAGCAGCATCAATGTATGGAACATACATAGACCTTGCTGTCGTCCTCTCCTTTCCCCCATTCGTTTTTTGTTTGGTTGGTTTTTTTACTTTGCTTTTTTGTTTCTTGACCTGCGCTGCAGGTACCACTGCGTCGTCCTGCAGACCCGGAGAGCAGGATGACACTCAGTAGTCGAACTGGGGACTCGCAGTGTTTTTGCTCATCTGTGGAGGCTCCCTCTGCCCTCTTCTCAGTATCCTGCCTGAGGCTTCCCTATGTCTGGGAGTGTTTTTGGAGGCGGCTGTTGCTGCTCCACAGCAGAGTGGATGTTTCAGAGAATGGTCGCTGATGGCTCCAGAGTTTTAGCCACCAGCTCTGAGTTAAATATCAGGTAGTTGAGGTTTAAATCATTTCCCTCCATTTGTTCATGCTGCGGCTCAGCTGCCACCTT